GACCGGGAGAGTTGACCAGGCGTTGACCGGGCATTGACCGGGCGTTGACCGGGGTTGACCGGGAGTTGACCGGAGGTGCTGACCAGTGTTGACCAGGGTTGACGGGGGGTTGATGCAGCGTTGACCGAGCGTTGACCAACACCGTTGACCATGATTTTGACCAAGCTGGCGCCAGTATAATCTCGCCAAGCCTTCAGCCTACCCAGCGCCCTATGGATGTGCACACCCCCTGTGGTACTTGCTGAGTCAAGTCTGTCTGTCTCTTCTTTCTGCATTGAGTCTCTTCTGTCTAGGTGTAGGAACTCTGTGGATGAAGGATAGGGCCTCGTTGACCAAACCCCTGTCGGACTAAGTAGGGCTAAAGACTGTGTCTGACGACTTGACTATCCCGGGAGGACACGAACCCTCCCAAGGACCGGTACAGACCGGCGGGCTGCTCGATGTGGCACGGTAGGCCCGAAAAGCTGAGCTGTGGGCTGCACAACAGGCAGTCTAAGTGTTGAGAGACCTGCTGATCGTGTCATCCTGTTTGCGACGTTAAATACTTCATGAGGAGTTACGGGGGATCTCCTTAAATGCCTCCTGATCAGCAACAGGTCTAGTAGTGACAGCCTTAGAGTAGGTCTAGGCTAGAGACCCTAGTTGACAGGATCCCTGTCGGGATTCTGTGAGTCTTTAGATTGAGTCAGTAAGTTTGTCAGTCAGGGGTTAGAGTCTAAGTGGTGAGGTTTGGAACCATTGACCCGGTTGTACACTTATCACCTGGTTGACACCCGTAGCGGGAAGAGTACTAGCCCCTATACTCCGGCTCAACAAGAGCAGATGGTCGCCCTAGTGAGAGAGAACAAGGAAAAGAAAGAGCTCCTAAAGCAGGCGAAGTTAAAAGCAATCGCAGAGGAGCAGGCGACGAAAATGAAGAAGCTGGAGGAGGAGATGATGAGGGTTCAACAGGAGGAGGAAGAAAGAAGAAAGGTTGCTGAAGAAGAAGCAGCAGAAGCGGAAGCAGAGGAAGAACGCCTGGAAAGAAGGCGTAGGGAAGAAAGAGGGGAGAGCAGTGGCACGACAGAGGAGGATGCAAAAATGGAGAAGAAGATCAGTGAGTGGGTGGCAAATTTTTCCTTGGGAGAAGATGAGGAGGCGCAGCTGTATGTGCCACAGGAGGAGAAGGAGTTGTTTGCCAGGGCTTTGGAAATGATAGATGACCCCCTGGAACGTCAAGAGACAGAAGATGAGACGAAGTTGGAGTGGAAGCTGCGAATGAAGAGGGAGAAGAAGAGAAGGAGGGAGGAAGCTGCCCAATTGGCCGCAGAGGTGGAGAAAGTACGAGGATGCAGGCAATAGTTGCAGGCACAAGCAGAGGTCCTTGCTAAGTTAGATAAGATTGTAGGGTACTTGGAGGTGCTAAGTGAGGCGTGGTTGGAGGAACGCCAAAGCAACCGGGGTCACGATGTGGCCCTACAGGCCATGCGGGCGGGCTGGTTTTAGAGAGTTTGCGCGCGACATGGGGACCCACGTCGGGGCCGAAGTGAAAGGATTAAAAGAGGGCGTAAGGAAGTTCTGTGAGGGCGGCATTGAGGGCGCCAAGGTAGTAGCCACCACTGAGACTGAGTCTAGACCCCGCAGGGAACCAATCAAGCTGAAGTTCCCAGATGCTTATGGCAGAAAGTCTGATGAGAACTTCGATAATTGGGAGGCAAGTGTCAATACATATGTTCATTTACAGCAAATTGCACAGGACGATAAGGTCCTCGTTGCCTTCCAGGCTCTCAAGGACGAAGCGGCTAGTTTCGCTGGATCCCTCGCGCGTGCGGCCGCTTGTGAAAACAACATGGTCGCTTACTCCAAAGTCACCCCCCTCGCTCAATTCTTCAAGCTCCTGAGGGAGCGATTTGCTGATCTGCGAAGAGGCGTTAGAGCCTCTGATAAACTCCAGACCATCCACTCACGGCAGTGGAAGAGTGCAAAGGCACTCAAAGATGTAATGGACGACCTGGTGGCCGTCCCGGACCATGGGGTTACTGAGTCCCAACTGGTCCAACGCTTCTATCGTGCCATGCCGGAGCCCTTACGAGGGCACTTCTTTGACAAGAGCCAACAGCCCACGATGACGTACAATGCGCTAAGTAGAGAAGTGGTGCTGTTTGAAGCCAAGTCCATGCCAATTTCCACTTTCTGGCACAAGGACCTAGACAAGGGCAAAAAGTGGAAAGGGCGTACCATCTCAGGCCAAGTCAGGGCCAAGGATCACATGTACATTGGAGGAAGGTGGTACTGATGAGGTCCCCTATAGCCAGATTGAGTGGGGACTTGAGGAGGAGGACAACAGCATACGACAAGGGAGGTCCTATGTAGCTGTCGCGGCTGGAGGGAGGCCGCAAGGTAGAGGAGGACGCCAGGGCCAAAGAGGCCAGGCCATGGGAGGCCGAGGATCGGGCACACAGGGGGTTGGCGGTCAAGGGAACCGTCAGCGGGAGGTAGGGGTCAAGGTCCCCCGCCGAATCGTCAAGGTCCCAGTCGGTCCCCGCAGCGACGAGGTGGCAAGTCACCTCAAAGATCAGGAGGTTGGCACCCAGGTTGGCCACAAGGCCGGCCCTGGGAAGATCTGGACCTGGACCAGAAAGTGTGGCAGCAGCGGATGGAGCAGGGGCAGTGCATTTATTGTGGTGACCCTGCCCACATCATAATCGCGGAGAAGCTTCTTGAATTGCGAGCTGCGTCGTCGAGTGGCTACACGTGCGTGAGGGCGACTTGGGGCGGGAGGGACTTCCTCTCCTGATGTAGGAAGCCGTGAACGGGTGGCTACACTCCAGGGAGTTGACCTGTCACCTTCAAGGGGCGCAGAGTCCGAGGGCGGTTAGGTGACAATGGCGTCACTTGCAGCCCTGTCTTGAATTTTGAAATAGGGTGGTCGGGAGAGAAGTTCCGTGGGCGGGAAAGTTGATGTGCGGAATCGCCCGGGCAGAGAGCTTTCCGTGGGTCGTGACGTTGGGTGCTTGCGCAGAATAACACTGCGTATAGGGTTGCGCGAAGTGACCACGCGCCCGCTCTTTCTCCGAAGACGAGCATTCCCCAACCTTGGTCTCAAGAAGAATACGTGCTTGGTTTTCTTTATTTTTTTGTTTTTATTTTTTGTGGGATGCTGCCCAGCTGCGGACCGGCAGGGCTGACATACTGACCGGTCGGCTGGTCCATCCCCGCCCAATTGGGGGGCACCAACCGTCAGGGTGACAACACTGCTTTGCTACTTAATTAGCTCTTCTAAAGGACACTGCAAGACAGTCTGTACATTGCCTATCTGGACATACAATTGTCGGTCCTACAACTAATTAAATTGCAACAGTATAAGCCAACTGGCAGAAAATATGACCCTCTGGTAATTGACAAATGAGTGTTGTCGAGCATTCCGTTGGACTCTATACCCCATTCGTTCACTGAGTTCCAGTCCCCACGCCTTAACTGGCAACTAATTGTTACGAATGAGAACAATGTCTTACAGGAAACGGTCCCACCCCAGTGCACGGGCAACCTAGCATGGGTGGCCAGAACTGATCAAGAATTATTTTTAGTCACAAACAGGTTGACTCGCCGCCTTACTAAAGTTGAAGCTTGTATGTTTGCGCGTGCATGCATGGTCTAATTCCAAATCGTGTGCTTCCTCCACACTGGGCACTTCGCATGCACCTTCCTTCTCCCAGCTAATGCACTAGAAGAAGGTTGATTCCCAAGGTAACGCGCGCTCGCAACTTACAATACCAGGACTCTCAAGTGAAAATCTCTTCCTTACAGTAAAAAGAATTGAGGGTGGGCCAGCAGCCTAGCTCAGGTGGTTGAGCATGTAAGTGGTACTTAGGAGGTCGTGGGTTCGATTCCCCAATTCTTCCATTTGGCTCCCCACAGCCCCTGCAGAACACTTCGGGTTCACCACCTGAGACAGTTTGCCCCCCCTAGTAGGTCTTGGTCAGGATCTACACTAGATCGTGTGCTTCCTCCACACTGGCTACTTCACATGCACCTTCCTTCTCCCAGTGAATGCACTAGAAGAAGGTTGATTCCCAAGGTAACGCGTCTTCCTTACGGTAAAAAGAAATGAGGGTGGGCCAGCAGCCTAGCTCAGTTGGTTGAGCATGTAAGTGGTACTTAGGAGGTCGTGGGTTCGATTACCCAAGTCTTCCATTTGGCTCCCCACAGCCCCTGCAGAAACCAAGGCCTAAACAAATCATTCATACAACGCTGAAATGTAGCTGGCGCATTGGTCAGTCCAAAGGGCATCACTATGAACTCAAAGTGCCCGTAAAGTGTCTGGAACGCAGTCTTGTACTGGTCATCAGGATGGACTTCTATCTGATGATAACCGGACTTCAAATCTATCTTTGAAAAATATTTGCAACCCTGCACCCGATCTAAGAGATCGTCTATCCTGGGCAGTGGTTCAACATTCTTGACTGTAATAGCATTTAGACCCCTATAGTCTATACACATGCGCAACTCTCCTTCCTTCTTGGGGACAAACGGAACAGGTGCTCCAAAAGGAGACGAACTGGGCCTGATCCAACCTTTCTCCAAGAGCTCGTCCAACTGCCTAGGTAGTTCCTCTAACTCTCTAGGGGACATCCTGTAGACTACTCCCTTAGGAGTTCTACTGCCAGGCTCTATCTCTATCCCGTGTTGGGACGGCCGCGACACTAATCCTGTCGGTGGCTCAGACAAGTCTTTAAACTCTTCCAGCAGCTTGGCAATGGCTGGATTCGTGGAACTAACTTCTTCCTTAGCCTCAATGACAGGTCTAACATATACTACGAAGACCTGATCCTCTAACTGTTCCTTTTTTACTAATCGCGCGAACGCGGGAGCAGTGAGACAGCAATGTGCCATCGAGTTATCTACTCCTGACACGTGGAACAAACGGGCTGTCTTAACTTCGCCTGACGGACGAGGGAGCCTACACTCGTGCTCTCTCAGATGGAGTGTGGCCCCTGCTGCCTCCCCCCAGTCCATACTTAGGACTATGTCAAAAGGAAGGTCATCCTGTACGAGGAGAGTCAGGGAATGGAGAACATTCTCCACCTTCCCATCTTTCTCTAGGCGAAAGTACGCCTGGACTCCCTCTACGTAGTCCTCAACACGCATAGTGCGGTTGTCTGCGAGAACACTAACTATGGGGTCTTCCAACTTCTGGACTTTTAATCTTAGCCTCAACTTTTTCAGCGCTCTACGGCTAATGTAACTACGGGTAGCCCCTGAATCTATAAGGGCCCCTACTCTACTCTTGAACACTTCTACATCCACTAACACTAGCTGCCCTTTACTATCTTTCTTCATCTTGGCCCAGGCAGGCATCCTTTCCTTCAATTCCTCTGCCACGCCTGTGAGGGACGTGCCTAGAGAGACGCTGACACAAGCAGTCCCTAGACAGCTAACTAGGCACGGGCCTGCAACCTCTGCCGAAGGCTCATGTGGTGTGGGAGTTTCCTTTACGCGTGCGCTCGCTTCCCCACATGGCCTAAGAGTAGGGGCAGTTGCGACCCCTACCGGCGGCTGCCTTTTGACTCTTGGGCAGCCCAACGGGCCTGTCTATACTTGGGACAATGAGACCCCTCCAAGATCCCACGGCCATGAACAAACGGCATCCATTTGATCATCATACTCTATCTCTCACTCGACCATCTCGCCCCCTAACTGATCACATCTCTCCGTGATGCCTCACGACCCGCCGCTCTCCCAACCCAACCCGGTTCTTTTATCCCAAAACTGACCCCATCTCCTCCTCCCCCCCACTCCCTCCCTCCCTCCGTCCCTCCCCCCGCCTCCCTCACTCACTCTCTCCACTTAACAACACATGCCGAACCCCGGCCGAGGCAGGCAGGTCAACAATGATGTCATCGTAAAGTGCTCAGACCGCTACGCAGAACATAACCAGTCAGTCAGGTTTTAGTCACTCTGCAGGGGTCAGTACAACCATCTTCTGGAGCAGCACTTGGTAGACAGCAATTACAAGAAGAACTTAGGTTAGCAAAGCTGAGAGGAAGCAGAAGATAGGAAACCGGCACACCCAGATATACTGGCCGGGGAAATGCAAAAGTTGGAGTCCTTGGTGGCAGGGACATTAGAAGAAACAAGTGGACCCGCCGCGGCGACGCCGCGACAGAGGGATAGGGCCGGGGCACAAAAGGGGACGAGAGGCGAAAGGGAAAAGAAGCAGGCAGCAAGCACCGGAGGGTGAAAAATGATTTTCTGTTTCACATATGATGCGATAGTGACAACCTTGCATATCCTTCCCATCTCTCTCTCTCTCTCTCTCTCTCTCTCTCTCTCTCTCTCTCTCTCTCTCTCTCTCTCTCTCTCTCT